TGTGTGTGTGTGTGTGTGTGTGTGTGTGTGTGTGTGTGTGTGTGTGTATGCTTGTGCGAACACGAGTGAAGTTGCCAAGTTTGTGCAGTGAGCATTTTACCCTCTGAGTCATCTCCAAACCCCTTCTGGTAGTGTTTTCTTATAATTTATTTTTGTTTCTGAATGTTCTGTTCCTCTATTTTTTTTTTTTCTTTAGGCCCTGTTATGCTCCTTCCTTTGAACAGTTCTATTGCTGAGTTCTTTATTTCCAGTATTTAGTTTGGAGCTTCCTCAGTATTTTTTTACTGAACTCCACTTCCTCTACTGACCTACTAATTCATGTTTTTGTTTGCTGGATTCATGTGTGCCCACTTTTATTTTCTTTCACCTATTTACAAGTGTTCTTTTGATGTCATTGTCATCTAATTTACTCAAATTGAAGGCCATTACTGTGAGCTTAGTAGCTTTTATAGGAGTCAGGTAACTCTTTGTTGTTGTTTTTGCTCTAGATAGCACTGAAGCTTTTTTTATATTGGGTTGAGTCATTTGTTGAATTTTTTTCCCCTTAAATTACATTGATTCTTTCAGTGGAACTGTTGTCGATGCTTAGAAAAGACTAGGTTATGGTAGTGTTATGGTGTTGGCTACCTCTGTCCTATGATGTTTGGGCCTCCAAAGTAAATGTCCAGTATTCCCAATGTAGGGGCAATATTGTCTTCAAAACGAATCAATGTTCTAAGGGTTTAATGTAGAGTAAAAAACTGTCACCACTTGGATATCAATTTTAGGAAATAAAGGAGTATTGAGAAGTCTTTGTTCATTAATATTTTGGTTCTGTTGATTATGGGTGGAAAGGGAAAAAGAGCAAAGTGAGATTAGTGACTAGTGCTGTCTCGATTAGAGAAACAGTGGTGGAAAAAGTAAATAGGGAAATAGTGTGGATACTGGAAAGGAGGCCGTTTTGTTTAAAAGCAGAATGAGCGAGGCAAAGAAATCATGCTGGTCTGAGTAAGAATGGCCCCATAGGCTCGGATGTTTGAATGCTTAGTCACCCGGAAGTGGCACCACTGGAAAGGATGAGGAGGTGTGGTCTTGCTGAAGGAAGTTTGTCTTGGATTGGCTTAGAGGTTTCAAAAGCCCAGGCCAAGCCTGGTGTCTGTCCACCAGCAGATCAGGATGTAGCTCTCAACTACTCCCATGCCTGCCTTGCCTGCCAGTGGACTCGCTGCCGTCTTTATCAGGACTAAGTTTTTGAAACTTTAGCAAGTGTGTTCCAGAGCACACAAGCAAACACAAACACACAGCATGGCTAAATGCTTTCTTTTGTAAGAGCTGCCTTGGTCATGGTCTCTTCACAGCAATAGAACAGTAACCAAGACAGAAATGTAATCAGATAACCTAGAACAGTCCAAGTTCTCAGAAGGCCGAATGGAATCCTGAAAATGAATCCAGTCTACATTCTTTGGCCAAGTCTATGAAAAGGAAAGAATGAAAATAATAGAACTTTAAAGAGAAGAAGCAAAAGGAGGAAACGGATAGAACAGAACACAGCTGGCAGTTAAGTTGGAATCAGGCTTTAAATAAAGAAATGTAGGAAAGAGAGAGCTGAATGGGGTCAAAAGTATCAATCCAAGCTGTCTGCTCGCTGGCAGTAGCTTCAAGTCTAGCATTACTTCTCCCCTATTTTCTCTTTAAATAAGCCCCAAAATATAGTTCTGACAGCTGTCCTTACCATTGGCCAGGTTCAGACTCTCCCTTTCCTGATCATTGCTTCTTCCATGGCCCCTAAACCAGCTGTGACATCCCCAGAAGCCTTTCAGATCTGACCTCCTTATTTCAAGGTTTCTATTCCTGCACTGATTCATATCCTTACCCGTGAGCCCTCTTACCTATTCTTTGTCACTTACCTCTATTGCACCTGTCCACTGACTATCCTTGTGGGGATGGAAGGCTGCCCGGAACAGCCCTGTGGTGCTCTCCATGTGTGTGGAGAGTCTAGGAGCTCCTTGGTGAACTCTCCAACCTGGCTACGTCCGGATGTAGCCTTAATAAACATCCTAGCTGAACGTAGTGGGTGCACACCTTTAATCCCAGCACTCAGGCGGCAGAAGCAGGCGAGCAAGTATCTATTAGTTTGAGGCCAGCCAGGGCTACATAATGAGGCTTACTCTTAAAACTAGAAAGAGAAGGAAAAGAAGTGTAGTGTGATTTGTCTTGCGTGCCTGGTCCTTTAAAGGACCCCCCCCCCAGTTGCTAGTCAACGCACCCGTTAAGAATTCTTAGCTGTTAGAACTGCTTGACCCTACGACCTTCAATGTTGGTTGCCTTTGGATTTCTGGAAACAGGAGATCATATAAAAAAAGACAGCTGAGGCTGAGAGAGAGGAGTTGGATCCAAGGTCAGAGAGTAGGGTTAGAGAATACAATGGTGTTGGCCTTCCTGGTACTCATTGCAAGGATATCCTGGGACTCAAAAGAAACGAAAAAGAAAGGTGTGGCCACTATGGAGAGCTCCCGTAATGGAAGCAGTAGGCCGAGGCAGGAAAGGGGCTGGCTCCGCCGAGGAGGCCTTAGTGTGCTGACAGGAGCCGCCATCTTGGCTGCCTCTTC